ACACTATTTCTGAGGGAAGACGGAGTTGGAGGCCCGATACCCAGAGACTGTTGTATACTGTGAGTGACTATCAAACATACATTTTAGCTACTGTGATGCCCTGAAAAGTTCGAATTTTTATTGTGACATTCGAGTGGGAAAATTGGCCGTTTTGTTAGATTAACTGTGCTAATCATACAATTTGACGAATCGAAAAATGTAATTTTTAAGTGACGAAATAAATTTTAAAAAATCGTTCTGAAAAAAAGACACGTCAGGACCTTGAAATTTCGCGAACACTGACAACCGCGAAAATCAGAAAAGACAGAGTTTTGTTAGAAAACAGCAACATTGACTCTCGACAGTGAAAAAAATGAGGGAAATATTCTGAGATTACGATAGAAGCTGTCCGAATTGTAACGATTGTAACTGTACAATCGTTACCGAAGATTTCCCGAGAATCTGGAAGGGTATTGGGTGGATTCTGTCACCCGTCCAGAAGGACGACAAGACCGCCCTTAGTCCGGATCCCAGAAACCGGTAGGGTCTCGGGAAGAAAACTGAAACTGTATTCTAAGAACTCCTTGCTTCCGGATATGTCCTGAATTGAATTCAATTACATCATAGTTCGTTTTCAGATAATGAGAAGCTAGGAGTTGAGGGAAAGGGTTGATCCATCTCCGATTGATATGATGATTTTTATCTACTGAACAAAAACAAATGTGATATAACAAAAAAGTAGTAGCCCTGGTGTTAGGAGTGACCTCGTGGTCTAGGGATACTGAGACCCAGCCTTGAGCACACTAATTTTCTTGTAACTAAGTTAATCTGCGCGTTCTGACCGATAGCCCAAAAACAAAAATGATTTTGCCTATCCGATGTTAAAGGACCACACATAGAACTGGCTTTGGTAGAGACTGTTAAAAGCATATGAAGCTGTGTTTAGACGCTAGCCAGTTGTTTCATAACCTAGCTTCATTTTCCGTCGATATTTGTTTCCGGACGAATGTTACAGGAAAGATTCAATCCATCTCCAATGAATTTAGTTTATAGCTATAATTAAAAACATGGTAAATTATGGTTTCCAGCCGTGTTTTTAAAAGTAATCACGTAGTCTGGGTATCCGAGACCCAGCCATGTGGTTATATCCGCATGAAACGAAAACTGATCAAAAGTCTATCGACTGATGGCCTAAGAATGGTAACTTTTTACTTGGCCCTAAACAGATCAGAAAACTAACTGGCTAGGTCTAGACGAATAAAAACGAGTAGAACTAGGGTAACTGACGCCCGCCAGTCTTCAATAGGTTCTTTTTCTATGCTCCGTCACTGTGTAATGCTTAAGCGAATGTTGCATTTTTATCTACTGAACAAAAACAGTAGTAATATGATAATAAATATTGGCCTTTTTTAGGAGTGACCTCGTGGTCTGGGAATACTGAGGCCCAGCCATGAGCTCACTGTTTCTGCATGTAACTAAATTATTTCGTATGTAACGAAATTAAATCGCAGTTTGGCCGATAGCCTCAAATGTTATTGACTCTGCCGACCCGATGTTAATGGACCACACATTGTACTGGCTTTGGGAGAGGCGATTAAAAGCATATGAAACTGTTTAGACGCTATCAAGTCGTTTCAGAACTTAGCTTGTTTCTCCGTCTGTAAGTACTTCCGGGCGAATTTTACATTCGTATTATATTGTCTCGGCAGGTTTTTGTTTTAAAACTAGCCTTATTCATGTTGATTTGGTAGATCTTGCCTTTTCGACATTTTAGAATTTTCGTTTTTTTTGTTTTGTATCGTCAGTCGCCACTGTGTGAACTTACGAAAATTCTCAGAACTTCGAGATAATGTCCAAAGGGTTTCCAATTTTATGTACCGGTACGTGCACGCTAGTAGTTTAGGGTTGCGATTCCAATGCCAAATTTTGGCTTTCCAAAAGCTGGTGTTGTAATCGTGAGATGATTTGGATGATCTGGATGATTTCACGATTCTTTCAAATTTTCTACAAACTTAGAAAAAACTTCACTAACTCATTAGAAATGCAAGTTTTGTAGCCGAACTTGCACGTTTACGGGAGTATAAATCGGGCTTGGAATCCAATGGCAAACTTTTCCTGAAGCTCGTAATTTGGAAGAGTTGAACGCTCTCTTTATTTTCTCAATAATGTCTCGTAACTTTGTACCCGTACTTCCATTCCATCTAGCATATAAAACGCGTACGCAACGATTCAATTCGCGCGCATTACTTCTTAATGAGATGCAATTTTCCTTATAAAACCTTGAAAGCCATCGGAATTCTGCGTTCGTGACCTACGCGAATTCAAAGGAGAAAGAATAGATTGCGCGCAACAAACTTAAACGAAGTACCCAGAAACAGTGTTTTTTTTGCTTTAACATATTTTGCTGGCGTTCCTAATATAGTCATTGACATGTTTATAGTTTTTAACAAATTCATCGGACAGCATCTTTTTGAAATAATTCTGACCACGAGGCAGTGAAAAGGTGTTGAAAATGCAATAGCGTTGACAGTGAAATGGCGTCGCTTCTTCAGAGACGTCAAGTTTTTTAAATAACTTCAAGCCTAACATCAGAACATTTTTTTCTTCAGCAGCGATCTGGCATTCATTTTTGTCTATGATAAATAACACAAAATGTCGACAAATGCAAAACTTTAGAGAACTAATTGTAATTATTTTTTTATCTGTAAGGTCTGAACTATTCCAAAAATTGAATACATATGATACATTTCTTAAACTAGTCTTAAAATTCGGAAATAATTCTGTCCTTGACTGTGAAATAGAGTTGACATTGCAACCAATATTTCCAATTTGCATTTGAACTGTCAAAAGTGCAAAACAAACTAAACTGATTGCGCTTTTTCAAACAATTTCAGAGCCCTTGCCTTCAAACAATTTTTGCGATCAGCATCAGTCTGACATGCACTTTTCGTTCGGAAAGAATACATAAAACGCCGTCAAAATGAGAAACGCGAAAATTTAAAGAACTATTTCTAATTAGTTTCAGCTTGAAAGTCAGTATTGGTTCCAACATTATGACCCTGTCCAATAAATTTGTTAAGAACTTTAAAACCAGCTCCAAAAGTTGGAACAGACAGAAATGATTAAAAAGAGCAAATTTTGAGTAATTTTTGCATGGAAATTTGAGTTTTTAGGTGAACTTGAGTCATATTTTCTGGCTGAAACATAAGCGTCTGCATGCTAAAGTTTTCTGAAATAGGTCATTTGATCTTTTGAAGTAATTCTGTATGTTCCAACTTTTTGCTGCAACTCTATAATGTTTTCAGAGCGTATGCTACGCAAAATAGAGTTCAATGGAAACGTTTTGCCACAACATATTGTCCATCAATGGTTGGACGGAACAAAATTGTGGAACATAAATTGAAAGTATACGGACGCAAAGTGAACCTAAAACCCTTGGATCTTTGTCCCAATTTGCCGAACTATGCAGGGAGTTGCTCCAGTAGCGACCAATCACCACGTCTCCTCTCTCCTGGAAATGTTTCAATGGACTTGCACGAGAACGATTTCCAAGTACTGCCACCGGTGGAGATTTTAACCTTCTATTCAGAATCATCTTCTTGATGAGTTTTATATCTCCATTCAAAATTTACAGGAGTTTGATGGTGTGAAGAAACAGTTTGATGTCTTCGACTTGGAGCAGTTAGTTACGCTTTTGGAAAACCGCTTTTCATCGATCAATATTCCCGTGGATTATGGCATCTGCGTTTCCTTCATATGCCCTGAGGTATACTTAGTAGCAAAAAGGCGGAACAGACAGGAATAATTAAAAAGAGCAGTTTGCTAATTTTGAGCAATCTTACATAAAAAGTTGAACGCTCTCTTTATTTTCTCAATAATGTCTCGTAACTTTGTACCCGTACTTCCATTCCATCTAGCATATAAAACGCGTACGCAACGATTCAATTCGCGCGCATTACTTCTTAATGAGATGCAATTTTCCTTATAAAACCTTGAAAGCCATCGGAATTCTGCGTTCGTGACCTACGCGAATTCAAAGGAGAAAGAATAGATTGCGCGCAACAAACTTAAACGAAGTACCCAGAAACAGTGTTTTTTTTGCTTTAACATATTTTGCTGGCGTTCCTAATATAGTCATTGACATGTTTATAGTTTTTAACAAATTCATCGGACAGCATCTTTTTGAAATAATTCTGACCACGAGGCAGTGAAAAGGTGTTGAAAATGCAATAGCGTTGACAGTGAAATGGCGTCGCTTCTTCAGAGACGTCAAGTTTTTTAAATAACTTCAAGCCTAACATCAGAACATTTTTTTCTTCAGCAGCGATCTGGCATTCATTTTTGTCTATGATAAATAACACAAAATGTCGACAAATGCAAAACTTTAGAGAACTAATTGTAATTATTTTTTTATCTGTAAGGTCTGAACTATTCCAAAAATTGAATACATATGATACATTTCTTAAACTAGTCTTAAAATTCGGAAATAATTCTGTCCTTGACTGTGAAATAGAGTTGACATTGCAACCAATATTTCCAATTTGCATTTGAACTGTCAAAAGTGCAAAACAAACTAAACTGATTGCGCTTTTTCAAACAATTTCAGAGCCCTTGCCTTCAAACAATTTTTGCGATCAGCATCAGTCTGACATGCACTTTTCGTTCGGAAAGAATACATAAAACGCCGTCAAAATGAGAAACGCGAAAATTTAAAGAACTATTTCTAATTAGTTTCAGCTTGAAAGTCAGTATTGGTTCCAACATTATGACCCTGTCCAATAAATTTGTTAAGAACTTTAAAACCAGCTCCAAAAGTTGGAACAGACAGAAATGATTAAAAAGAGCAAATTTTGAGTAATTTTTGCATGGAAATTTGAGTTTTTAGGTGAACTTGAGTCATATTTTCTGGCTGAAACATAAGCGTCTGCATGCTAAAGTTTTCTGAAATAGGTCATTTGATCTTTTGAAGTAATTCTGTATGTTCCAACTTTTTGCTGCAACTCTATAATGTTTTCAGAGCGTATGCTACGCAAAATAGAGTTCAATGGAAACGTTTTGCCACAACATATTGTCCATCAATGGTTGGACGGAACAAAATTGTGGAACATAAATTGAAAGTATACGGACGCAAAGTGAACCTAAAACCCTTGGATCTTTGTCCCAATTTGCCGAACTATGCAGGGAGTTGCTCCAGTAGCGACCAATCACCACGTCTCCTCTCTCCTGGAAATGTTTCAATGGACTTGCACGAGAACGATTTCCAAGTACTGCCACCGGTGGAGATTTTAACCTTCTATTCAGAATCATCTTCTTGATGAGTTTTATATCTCCATTCAAAATTTACAGGAGTTTGATGGTGTGAAGAAACAGTTTGATGTCTTCGACTTGGAGCAGTTAGTTACGCTTTTGGAAAACCGCTTTTCATCGATCAATATTCCCGTGGATTATGGCATCTGCGTTTCCTTCATATGCCCTGAGGTATACTTAGTAGCAAAAAGGCGGAACAGACAGGAATAATTAAAAAGAGCAGTTTGCTAATTTTGAGCAATCTTACATAAAAATTTGAATTTTTAGGTGACCTTGAGTCATTTTCTGTCTGAAAAGTTAGATTTTGTAAGTTAGTTTTTACATGCTAAAAATTTATGAACTAGGTCATTTGCTTTTTAAAATTAATTCTGTCTGTTCCATCTTTTTTTTTGCAAGTCTCTATATGAACATCAATCGAAAGCTGGCGTATCGGACCAATATAATTTATTGGACAATGAACTCTTTTCGTTTTTAGTCAACGGCAGACGAGAAAACGTGCCTCTTCAAATGTGACGAACTGTTTCGCGCCGTTCGGAAATCCTTAGGCAATTGGAGATGCAAAGCTTTTACTGAACACATTTCAACAAACTGCAAATTGGTGACGCGGAAGCAGGTGAATAAAAAGACAACTTGGTCGGATTCAAGCATTGCCAACTAAAAAAAAAGATTTAAAATAGCTGAAACTGAATTTGACTAATTTAATTTGAAAAATATTGACAGAACAACTGCTCAAAACTAGATACTTATCAATATTCGAAGTGGATCATTTAAATTCTATCATTGGACTGAGTGTTGTTTTGCAGGCTTTGAACCCCATCCCGTTTCTGTATGAGGGTTGGTGGTTTCCGGAGTTTGTGGATAAGTTCCGATTGGACAGAGAGGTATCACTGTGTCCCATCACGCAATCTGAAGTGGAAAACCCAGAAAAGCCCTGGATGGACGGAAATGACGTCATCATGGGTGTGTAATATTGTATCTTATTGAAATCCACATTTTTTCCTCCTTTAATTAGTAATTGACAATTGGAGTGTACAGTTCTATGAATGATACCGAGAAAAAATGTCAACAGGATGATACTGACTGTCAACAGAAATTGTTTTTTTGCCGATTTCGATTCAAAAGGAATAAGGGAAATTATCAGAAACCTGTTTAGTTTCACCGCTGGACCGATCGAAGCTTGAAAGACGGGGCTCATCCGGACAGACTGGATCCATGCGAACTGCCCAGACGAATCCGAGTAGCGAGTACAGTACTACCTCATCCAGTGACAGTCCAGGATATGTGAACAGATCTAGTTTGACCACAACAGCCCTATGAGAAACTCTAAGAAGCTCGCTGATAGGAACCACGAAAGAAGGGGAAATTAGTTTTCATGACTGGACGAACTATATGTGATAGTCTACGGTCACAAAAAAATCCGACAAGCTAGTCGCTAAACAATGAATAAACGATTAAGAGGGAATTGGTTAATATCAGTTAGCAACAGAGGCTCCGACCATCGAAGGTGCTACGGAACTTTGAATTCAGTTGTTTTTCGTTGTAAATTTAAAAATAGGTTACTCAAACGTCAGATATTGTCGAAAATATTGACCTTCCAATCATAATTTGAGCGGCAATGAAGAGTTGATTAGTTTTGCAGTGCCAAAAAAAGAAGTGATATTTTTTTCAAAAAGAGATGTCAAATTAACTTTGGTCGGAGCATTGTGCGCTTATTTCACAGTTGCCAGCTATTCTGCTTTAAGAATAGTTTTCCACGGCTACAGTAGCCTTGAGTGATATTTGAATTTGAATACGTTTTGTCGCATTTTATGTAATTGTCCCTTATAGAATAATTATAAGACACTGCCATATCTGCTGATTTATTTCTGAAATTTGAAAAAAAAAATTTGATGAATTTTTTCATTGTTTGAAATGAGAAATAAGTAGACTGCTTCTATCATGGCAAAGCATTGAATGTCTCAACAGAGCTTTAAATTTGATCTGTGTAGTTCTTAACCCTGTTGTTGGGGGCTGTCACATTACTCTCAGGGGTTGCGAATCTTGCCTCCAAATATGAATGCCCAAGCCTTTGTTGTTTTCGAGATATGACTTTTTTATGGTTTTGTCAAATTTTTTTAGAGAACTTAAATTTCAAGTTTCGCATAGTTTGAAATTCCCAACGCTGTAGTTGGGTACTGTAAAAAAAATCCCAGGAGTTGATAATCTTGCGTCCAAGTGCGACTACTAAATTGCTTTTGGTTTCCCAGATGTGACGTGTTTTGTGTAAGTTTTAAACTTTTCGGAGAACTTAGATATAAAAAACTTCACAAATTTTATGGTTTTTCAAACTCTGAATTAAAAGAAACTTGAATGAAATAAACTTGTCAAAATTTGAATTAACCAACCGTGTAATTGGGTTCTATCAGAGTACACTCAAAGGATGCAGATCTTATTTCATATATAATCAGTTTTTTATGAGGAGGTGCGTTACTCGCTACTATAATTTGAAGCCGTTGTTATTTGCAAAAATACGAACTCTGACTTTGAATACGTTCTTTGGTTATTTAAGCGTTTTATTTGTAAATGGCGTTAGCTGTGTTGTTTTAGGTTATTCACGTTAAATTTTGCTGTTTGAAGGACATTAGTATGTTTTTGTATGTTAAAGAAGGAGCAATGTGCAAAAATATAAAAGCTCAGAAGTTTTCTATGATTTGTTGACTACTCAAGTAATGTCAGCTTAGTGGTTGCTTGGTAATTGTGTGTATATGACGCGAGTGAGTTTTTTCCAATATGTATTTTTTCTCAGTCAAGAGAAACGTATGAATGTTCGTAGATGAATTTTTTCGAATGTATTTTTTTGACTCGGTGATTTCCTTCTCATTTTTTATTCGCTGAATTACAATGCTATGCTGACGTTGTATCGCAAGTGTTGTAAAGTTCAGCGCAACTCTGTATAACGCTTTTAAATGTCATTAACCTTGCTTATTTTAGTAGAGGAACAGCTAACGTTTTAGGCGTCATTAACCTTGCTTATTTTAGTAGAGGAACAGCTAACGTTTTAGGCGTCATTAACCTTGCTTATTTTAGTAGAGGATCAGCTAACGTTTTGGGCAAAGTCCAATTTTTGAAATCACATTTTTCGTGCCGCATCAGTATAGCAAACTCATTCAATATTTAACACATACCTCCAGCTTTAGCTGGGCCTGCAGTTGTTTTTTTATCGGGACTTACGAAAATTTTGATTAACCTAGTTTTTTAAATTATCTAAATTTTTCTCAATTTTTTTCGAATGTTTTTTTAAATGTTTGTATTGTGTCGCAAGTGGTGCGAAGTTCCGCTTCGCCTCTGTATTTCACTTTCCAGTGTCTTGGCTTTTTTATTTAAAAACGTTGAGCTTTCTTGTTTTGTATCGCAAGTGGTGCGTAGATCAGCTTCGCCTGTTAAAAATGTACTTTTACAAAATAGGTGTCTGTAAGACTATGACTTCATGGTTTAAAAACTGATTCGAAAATCAATCGGGCAACTTTTACAATGAATTTCTGTCTGATCATAGCTTTTGTGGTCTCAAGTTTGATTGTGAATACAACGGTCGTTGGGGAATTATGCCTGCTAACAAATGTTAAGTGTTCTCGATTTAGTGAACAATTTAGAGTCGGCATTAGTTGAAAATTATTTCATGGCAATGCACGCCGATAGTGTTTTCTTTTGCGCACAAACTATTATCGATTGAAACTAGTATGTCCAATTGAGATCTTTTCCTGAAGTTTTTTTGTTTCGACCATTTTAAAAATTGGGAAGCACTTTGTATACGGGTGTTTTTCTACGCAAATTCAGCTACCAGAAGTAATCATCGAAGAGAGTTGAGATCATATTGAAGCCTTTTCAGTCGTGATTCAATTGACTTAGAAAAGTTTGAACCAGTTTTCCCAGTCTCGAGAAAAACCTGTTTGAAGTTTTTGATTTTTCGTCTAAATTCGAGCGAGTATTGTTTAGTTTAGGCCGTTTAGAACAGCCTATTTATGCGTTACTTTGTTTTTACTCAAGCAAAATTAGAGATTCTTAATGCCATTTTGGGAATCAAAAACTTCAAAATTATTATGCAAAAATATTTTCAAATGTTGTCCTTTTTGACTATTTTATTATAACTGTCGAACATGGCTAAGTTATAGTCTTACGTTAGATCCTTTCATCACACCGCGCAGAAAAAGTTACACTAAATTGAAACTTTTGTTTCTGTAGTTTTTTAAAGAGTATGGTCGGAACATTCTGTGCTACTTGCACAGTAACCGGCTATCCTTATGTATAAATGCAGTTAGTTTTCGTTACAGTTTCAGTGACAGCTTTTCGCTGACTTCCTTTCCATAAGTTTAATGAAAAGGGAAAAATAATAAACCAGAAGTTATATTGAAAGAAACGATTAAGCTTATTCAAGCGCTATAAATAAGGAATTTAAACAGAACAGACAAAGCTCACAAAAAATGTAATAATTTCAGGTGAGAATTTTGAACTATCGAAATGGCCCGCTTTCTTAGTAAGTTTGAACCCTTTTTTAAGCGTTAGGGTGTTAGTAAGTTTGAACCCTTTTTTAAGCGTTAGGGTAGTTGAACTGGAGCGCATCATTAAAATCTGAAACATCCAGGCGGAAATTGAGTAGATATTTTGATATTTAACGGTATTCACGAAGAACTTCATGAGTTATACACCGTGTTGTATAGATCCGACGAAGTTACCAGTCGAAAAAGTCTGCAAAAAGAGTATGTTGACCAATTTCTTTAAATGTCAGGCCAATGAAGTCACCGCAAGTACTTAACACAGCTTCTTTCACCTTTTGAATTATTTCATCGATTTTTTTTACTGTGTTTGGTTTTACTGATCCTGTATACTGGTAGCAGGAAAATAGTTCACAACACTGAAATCATGGCATTGCGAACTCATCTCTTTATAGTCTTTCGTCCTGTCGAATCTTTGGTATGCAAAAAAAATTACAGGCACAAAGAGAAGTTGGTGGTTTAGGATTTAGAATTTTGCCGAGTTGTTTCGTTCAGTTTTTTTAGTCGCTTGATTTTTTCACTTCAGTGGGTTTTTTGAAAGGATTATAGTTTTCATAGGTGCATCAGTTTTGACGCGATCCGAGAACGTTGTTTTTGTTGTTTTCTTTTGCGGAAGACTTGTTAACTTTAAATTGTAAACACTCGAAATTAGACGAAAAATCAAAAAAATTTGAAGCCAACTTTTCTTCACGAAGCCAGCTTTTCTTAAAATGTTACCCGCTCGAAATTAGACGAAACATCAAAAATTTGAAGCCAGCTTTTCTTCACGGAAGTTTTTTTGAAAACATTTATGATGTCGTTCGAATCACGACAAATGGGTTTTATTACACAACCAATGCTTGCGTTATAGTATGAACTATCGTTTTTCCCAACCTAAGTCGGAAATGTTGTTGCGACGCAAATATTGTTGCGATAAAATGTTTTCATTTTGAAAATGTTCATTTTGATCATTAACCAGCTACTAAGTACAGCCAATGCTAGGGATTTTAACAGAGATTATTATTGTTCCGACTTTTGTCACGAAATTAACGGAATATTTGGCCTCGTGGTGGTTTTTTAATTAGCCATTTTTGACGGGATTTTTTTTTGATACCATTCAAAAAGTATTGCTGTCCTGAGCTTAAATTTGCGAAGATATTTCAGCTGTGATCATTTTTCGTGAAGTTAAGGGGTTTAAAACTGCAATTTCGGCCAATAAGGAACAATTAACGCGCGATATATTTCGCGCTATTAACGCGTAAGCAGAGATTTAATCCGTCATAGAAATCGTTCCAAATTGATTGAAGGAAGCTTATTTGCCAGAATTGATCTGTTACTAGGAGAGAAACTTATCACTTTGTACTTAATATGGCGTGTGGCGGAATGGTTTCACAAAAATCTTAAATTAAAAAAAAATAACTAAAAATGTTTATTCTATTACATTTAATTTTTTCTTGTTTTTACTGCTCTATAAAATCAGGCTTGTTAGTTGGTAAATTTATTTTTATCAAATTGACTGGTACTGCCAAAGCGTCATAATTGGCGTGCGTCACTTATGCAGTTTTGTAGACTCAAAGTTTTACTCATTTAGTTTTTCCCAGTAACGTTATCGGTCATATTTTTGCTTGTGTATGCAAAGTGCAACTTCGCCTCTGTGTATGATATACCTCTTGACCCATTACGATGATTGTTTCTGGTGCTTTCAAACCCATTACGGTGATTATTTGTGGTAAGATTTTGCGTGGAAAACAAAAATTAAAACACTCGAAAACAATGTTCCTCCCCATTTTTAATGGCCAGAACAATTAGTGATAGCTCACTTGTTCATAACTAAGCTTTTCTGTTTTCACCCTTTTTTTAAATAATTACATCGATTTTCAAGATGAGGGATGTTTATTACCCTTGCAATAAGCAAGGGTATTACAATTTAGTTCAAGCCCGTTTATCTTTCAAATTTAAATAAAAGTACAATCACTTATGTAGTTTTTAGTTCAAGCCCGTTTCGGTTGTAATTATCTTAGCAAAAAATTTCTTAATTATTTTTTCGGGTTCGTGTTATCGTCTTAGTTTCTTTCGGTTCATTTTACGTTTGTTTATTTATCTGATTTGTTTATCTTATAGGGTTTTCATTGGTTTAATTTTTTAAGCATAGCTTTTGTTCTAACGAAAAGAGTCCTTACTATAACTGAGTTTCACCGAAAAAAGTCCTTACTATAACTGAGTTTCACAAATTTTGAATGTACCATGTCTGATTTTTTTTGTTTTCAATAAATTAGTCAAACAGTTTCAGTCAATCTTACATTGACTTAGTCAACTTATTTTGCGTTATTTCGGGGGCAAAATGTATTCGTTTGGGTTTATGTGTCTCAACTGGATGGGTCGTAAACACTTGATTCTTATGAAATTTTTTATGGTAACAGTTTTGTTATCGACTTAACAGGTTTCGACATAAAGTTTCTCGCCGTTGTTGCCGCTCGGTAAATGCTTTCTACTTTTTAAGGGCTGTTAATGAATATCAACCGATACAAATATGAATTTTTGTTTCGGTAATTTCCCAACTTTTGTCTTGTTAGTTTTTCAAGTAATTTTCAACACTTTTCAGAACTTTTTTCTAATTGTCTTTTTTTCATTCACTTTTGTACGGCAATGTGTGATTTGCATGCCAAATATTGCGAAGCTCCGCTTCGCCTCTGTGTCATAATTGGTCTTTCGTTATCTCTGGAATCGATATGCATTCATTAATGGCTTTATGAAGTTTCTGTGGACCTTTTTTCAGGGTCAGTCTGGCAGTTTGTCGAGCACAGTATTCTACTTAAAATTAATTTCTACATATTCGAGCTCACAATGGAGTCAACAAAGAAAGCGGGTCTGAATTTGAAGAGGTTCAACTACGTGAAGAAATTAGTAATCGACCCCCGATTGGAAGAAGTGAACTCTGCGTTGGCAGAGCTGATCGATGTCTCAGCCAAACATCCCAGAGAGAATTTCGTATGAAATGATATCTTGTTTTCTCGTCATTTTTCTGGAATTTTTTTGATTTCTTTAAATGTCCATATCGCCAAAAAAGGAATTAAATCTCTCAAATTTTCAACGAAATCAACGTGTGTTCAGCAGAGATATATTTCGAAATATATCGCGGTGTAATTTTTTTTTGGGAAACAATCAGATTTTTCATTTCTTCTGTACGGAGCGATTTTACTCACTCATAAAACTTGGTAGTAAGATAGAATTAATGAGGTTTCTAATTAAAAAATTTTGCTAGCTATGGATTTTTTAATAGTTTTCCGGAAATTCATGGCAAGTTAATTTGAGTATATTGTTCTGTTTTGAGACCGCTAATCTTCCTACTATCTAAAAAAGAGATAAGAAACAAAAGCTTATACATAATGTAGTTTTGCTTCTCTTTTATTGAAGATACTAGTTTTTTTGACCAAATTCAGGAGAATCTACGATATAAAAGTTAAATAATTTGAATATGGCTCATCGAAATCAAGATGCGAATGGTATCACGCAATGTTAAAATTGGATAAAAATCTATTATTCTCGGAAAAGTATACAGACTTCAGATGTTGTAATTTTATATTGTAAAACTTCAATTATGTAGTTCTTGCATTATGCATCTTATAATGCATTTTGTTTTGCAAAGGTTCTACTGTATATCTTCATCATATAATTATTACCAAAACTGTAAAACTGTTTTTTTTCTGCATCAAATTGCATACCTACGATATGCAGATTGTATACAGATTTTATACAGATTATCTACAGATTATATACTGATTATATACGGATTATGTACAGACTATATGCAAATTATACACAGATTATACACTGATTTTCTCAACAATTTCGCCAATCAGATAATAGGAGTATATTGAAACAAAATTTTAATGTAGGCTTTTCTATGAAATTTTTGTACTGATGTTTGATCTGAAAAAAAATTATTGTGGAAATAAGTTGAAGTCAAAACTAATTGCTCTATGTTTTTTTCTCTAATTTTTCATGTCTGTGAAATTGCGCTGAAAAGGTTGATCTTTTAATTAGATTTCATGAAGTTTCATCTTAGAGGGATCTCTTGAAACTTGTAGTTTTCGGTAAACAATTTTCATCCAGTGAGTTCAGCTCACTGTAACAATGAGGAAAATGTTTCCTGATTACAAATTTTTGTTAAATTTGTGGAAAAATCATTATTTTAAATTTTCAATGGTCAAAAAAGAAATGGTTACAACCCCCTATAGTTTTGAGACACGTATTCATTTTTGTACAGATTTTATACTTACTATATACAGATTATCTATAGATTATCTAAAAATTATATGCAGATTATCTATAGGTATTTTTGTATGAAGATTATACTCTGACTATATGTAGATTATCTACAAATTGTGTAAAGGTTTTATAGAATAGAAAAATCGATTATTTTGACAATAAAATCCATTTATTTTTGGTGGAAAAAATAGATTCTATCTGTATAGACTCGATTATCGTTCGCAAAGCACTTGTAGATACATCGATTCTATACTTACGTAAACCTGTAGATTTTTTTTGTATAAAATCGATTCTTGTTACTGCAGGATAGTTTGGTTTTGTCTCATACTCTTCCAAATTAAGGATTCATTCGGCCTAATTTATTTTTCCCAAAAAGTGTTGACAGCAACTTTTTAGGAAGAAATTTTTATTGTTTTTAAGTGCTGTTTAATGAATTCAAGATTGAAACTTTTTCTTTGTATCATAGCCTCAAAAGTTTTTGAATATGTGTCCGTCTGCTAAGTTTACAAAGTGTTTTAATTCTTGCTAGAAAGAAACCTTATTTTCATCCATTTAAAATGAACCAGATTTTTCGAAATTTTGGCTAGTTGCAATAGTGTGTTTTGAGAGACAATCGAAACTTCTGTGAGTTTTGTTTTCCTATATTCATACTTAAAATTAAATTATTGTTCTTCGTTGAAAAGGGAACCCGCATGGGTCGATTGGTGTACTAAAAGGGCAGTATCCGCCTTTATAGTGTCGTTTTATGTATTAAGTATTATATTTTTACCAAGCAAGCGCTTGTGATATACTACGAATCTACCCATTTTTGTTATTACTCAAAAAGTAGGCTTTTTTATTGTTCCGACTTTCGTAACGAAAGGAACGGAATGTTTGTGCTCGGGATGGATTTTTTCTTCAGTCAAGTTTCGACTTTTTAACTAGCCATTTTTGACGGAATATTTTTAAATCATTCGAAAGCTATTGTTGCCCTGAGCTTGAATTTGAAAAAAATATATTTCACCTGTGACCAATTTTTCGTAAATTTATGGGGGTTTAAAGATTGCCATTTTGGCCAATTTGGGACAATTAACGCGCCATATAATTCGCGCTATTAACGCGTAAGCTGAGATTTATTCCTCTTCAGAAATCGTTCCAAGTTGGCTCATGTTAATAGTAACAAAATCTATCACTTGGTACTTTTTATGGCGTGTGTGGGGACGATTTTCACAAAAAGTCTCAATTTTTTAAAATATTTTTAGTTTTATGTTATACATTTAATTTTTTCATTTTATTGCTGCTCCATATACCTTAAAAGGCAGTCGGAACATTCAGAGCTTCGCCCTGATACGCGCAGTCGTGTTAGAAATTTACTCCCGCTACCCACTTGCGAATAGAAATTTGCCAGATTTGCGAATACCAGCCAATACATTGGTGTGTGGTATTAGATGGCAGCATGCGCAGATAGCTCAATTGCTAAGGCTGTAGACTATCTATTCAGGCAAACTAAAAGAGTGCAATCCAGCCTCAAATTTCTAAAAAGGCGCATAAAATTGTCCAATTGTTTGGATTGGCAATTTTCAAACCCAGACCTTTACCGAAATAATCACAGGAGAAATGCGTTTTCGCATTTGAACTTAAAAAGTCGATATATCTCTTGGTGTATAAAATCTTTCCATAGAACTAGAACTATTTTTTCAGTCGTAATTGGTCTGAATAAAAACGGAGAATTTTTATGCTCGGCGTGGTTTTTTTATTCAGTCAATTTTCGCCGATCGAAATAATAGTTTTCAACAAAATTTGTTTTATACACCATTGAATATATCGACTTCCTGAGTTCAAAGTTAAAAAGATATTTTACCTCAGATCATTTTTAAGTTCTGGGGTTTGAAAATTGCCTAATTGGACATTTTCTGGATTAGATCATGCGCGCTTTGAAGATTGTATTCATATTGCTGAAAGCGAAACGCGAACTATATATGCGTGGAGAATTATCCCGCACAACGAAATCGTTCCAAATTGAATTTAGGCTAGATAATCGGTCGTATAAATTTTGTACGACTCAAAATCTCCCACTTTCATTTTGTCTAAAATTATTTTCTTTTCTCAAAAACTATTCGATGTGAATTAATGACAGTCGGAACATTCAGGGCTTTGTCCGGATATATGAGCTGTCTTGTTCTCTACACAAGTAGTCGGAATAATAACTTACCACTTAAGGGCTTTTTGCAAGTTATGTGCAATTGTTTTTTGACCACATAGGAGTTAAGAGTTACAAAACCTAATGTGTCTTTTAATATAAGCCTCTCTTCCTTTTCCAATTGATTCAGACTTCTCCAATTTGCGTGTCTTCAAATTAATAGCTTAACTCGAAGAATCGCTCTGTAAACTTTTCATGGGTAAACTCCCCTAAAAATGAGCTGGATAAGTTTTGTTCTTATTAAAATGCCAGTTCGAGTTAATACGACTTGTTTTATTATTTGTTCTTCTAAGTTAGATCATGTTTCTTCTAGACCTGAAAAGTTCAACATTTGAACACGATAAGACTCGGAACAGTTTTTCTTTATAGAATCGTACTGCATTGATCGATCTCTTTAATTTACATAATTGCAGAACTGAAACTTGGTTTTGATAGTATCACATAGAACATATTTATAATTGATAATAATTTCACGGAACAGAATATTTAAAATTGATAACAATTTCATCGTTAACAAACGGCAGTAGTGATTGATTGGAATCGTATCTTGAAATATTTTCGTGTTTTTGACGCCTTACTTTCAAATCATTCCGATATTTGCATCACCCTTAATTTGCATCACAATCGTTTCTGATTTTATTTCAGCTAAAGCAGGCATTTTTGACGCGACTGTTTATTGAGGTCGTAGTGTTGTTTCAAGAAGTTTGACACACATTTGGTCGCTATTTTTTCGCACTACAATGGATGCCCAACCTCTTCGTTAGTTTTTACCGCATCCGCTGTGGTTTGATTCAACGCACAAATTTTGGGCATCCATTTTTAAACCATAATTCAAATTTTTATTCCATGGTTGTCTTTTTTTAACATGTTTGACAGTTTTAGTGGATAATTGACCTTTTGGGCTGTGTTTGAAAGTTTTGGTCCATAATCGACATTTTGGCCATAATTAGCATTTTTGGTCTGATATCAATCTTTTGCAACATGATTGACTTTTTTGATCAATAATTGACATTTTTCGGACCTTGATTGATTAAGTGACGTATATATAGGTTTTTATTTTGAAAATTGGGAAAATTCTAGAGGTAAAGGTGCTTATTGATGATTGTATTGATCATCTGTTTTGTTGCTTTTTACCCCAAATTTAAAATTGGATAGTGTCTCGTCAATTTTGCCGGCTTCGCTTTTAATTAAAGATGGAAACAACCATGAAAGCGGGTCTGAATGTACGGAGGTTCAAGTACGTGAAGAAGTTAGTAATCGACCCTCGATTGGAAGAAGTGAACTCAGCGTTGGCAGAGCTGATCGACGTCTCAACCAAACATCCCAAAGAGAAATTCGTATGAAGTGAAACCTTGTTTTTCCGTTATTTTTCTGAATTCACCAAAAAAATGTTTGCTTGTTCTAATTACAAAGTTAGCTTTTTTCACAGACAAAATAAAGAAGACAGTGCTATATAAACGAGTAAAAGCATAAACCAGCCGAAATTAGTTAACTAAGTTTTCATGGCTTAAATTGAATTATAAGAATTTATAAAGAGTTTATATGAGTTTAGTAAGAGCCAATGAAGTTAGTGAAGACTTTTATATCGGCAGTGACGATTTTGTTTTTCAGGAAATAGTCTTAAACTTTGTTCACATTCCAAATTGATTTTTGCGGTTTGATTTTTTGGTTCATTTACTTTGTTCAAACTCCACTATCAAAAGTGTAAAGGTTACGACAAACGTGATCGACTTCTAATTTCGAAAATGGAAATATTTTATCAAATCGATTTCCCATCGGAATTAAAAATTTACCTATTGATCCAGTTTTCCCAAATTGGGTTAAGTTTATCAAAAAAAGTGTCCGTCTTAAATTGTTCTTGAAATTCGAAGAGCCTCAAGGCTATTTACATTTTTCCTTTGAAAATCGAAATGAATTTTAATAAAAAATTAACTGTCAGCTTGCGGAAAAGTTCAGAAAAGTTAATTTTTTTTCAGAAAAGTTGTTTAATTTTGATTTCTTTTGAAGCTCGCGTTCACGTATTTTTTCCTCATTAATTAGATCTAGTTGAAATATCACGAAGTTAGCTTGGCATGAATGTCTTAATGTGATTTAATATTTTTTATTGAAGAAATAGATATGCAGACTTCGTAAATGCAGATTGTATATCTTGGTTTTCAATAATTTCCGTTAGTTTTGCGAAAGCTTGTTGACTGTTTTGTATATACAAAGACCCCCACTGCGAGATAACGCTTTTAGAAGAGGACCCAGATTTTAGAAACTACATTAAACGGCGGTTGTGGTGTCGCTGCTAATATCGGTTGAAGTACCAGTTCATTAATTGGGACCATAGTTTAATGGTAACGATACGTTTTTTTTTTTTGCTTCATTCGTATCACTGGAGCTTTTCAGAGAAGCGGGAACGTGGTGTATAGACGAGACTATGAGCCAGCTGTGAGTCTACTAGCTATCCTAGAGCAGGCTCATAACTGCTTGAGATTGGTTTAGATTAAGGAAGTTAGCTGCTTGGACATGTCTTGATGTATGGGTGGGCGAGACTTTTAGTGGGCATAAGGCTTAAGAACAGGAGATTAGGTGGAGAATTTGAGAAGCACTAAGGTATTTGGCTGCTGTGGATGTTAAAACTCTTGCGATAAGCAAGGGTATTGCAATCGGGTACTAGACTTTTTCCCCCATATATAACTTTGTCCACAGGATCTTCACTTCTCGATGATCTTTTATCTGGCATGCTCAACTTCTTGAAAATTCAGATAAAGTACTAGTAATTAGTTCAAGCCCGTTTCAGGTTTTCATTATATTTTCTCAAAAAATTTCTCAATTTTGTTTTCGGATTCTTGGTTTTCGTCCTTGTTTCTGTCGGTTCATTTTCCTTTTTTTTTGAAACGCAATTTTTTTGTCTGAAGGGGTTGTTATGCTTACTTCTTAGAGCATGTATTTTGTTCCAATTTAAGCAGTTTTCTTACTACAACTGAAAGTTCAGTATTTTGTAACTTTACCAAGTCTGGTTTTGGGATTTTTTTTTTTCAATTTTTTAAAAACAGTTTCAGTTTGTTGTATCGGCTCTGTCATTTTTATTGCTTAAGTTCGAGGGAAAATATTTTTGCATGCTAAGGCACATACATATTCTAAGGCTGCTTATGAACTTCTTTCTATACAACCATGAAGTTTCTGTAGCTGTATCTTTTAACTTTTCAAGTAATTCTTTCTAGTAATTTTTTCAACTTAATTTTTCAGAATTATTTTTTTTACTAGGCATCAAGTGCGGACCAGCTTCTTTTGTATCAGAGCTTGAGCTACATGTTGAATGCGAAGAAGATTCTAGACTGTGGCACCTTCACTGGTCTCTCCGCCCTCTCTTTCGCCCTAGGTCGGTCAAGGTCATAAAGGATAAGCTATCCTATTATGACGCAATTTTTTTAATATTCATATTACGTCAAATTGATCGAATCAAATGAATTCATGTATCTTTAACGAACCATATCGCAGCAAGAGGTGATCGAGGCTCGTGGGTGGAAAGAACCGACTACAATCTGAAAGTGTTTGTGCTAGGTTGTGCAGATGATGGTCACGTGTACACTATAGACGTGAACAAGGAGTTCGTGGACGTAGGAAGGGAGTACTGGGATAAAGCGGGAGTGGCTGGGAAGATAACCTCTATTTTGAAACCGGCCGATGAAGTAGTCAAAGAGATGGCACAAAAGCCGGAACATCTGGGCTCCTTTGACATTGCATATCTGGATGTACCCAAACATTTATACGAGCCTGTGAGTGTAGCTGGAAATAGCCATCTGTTGCGTTACAATTCACACATGATTCTTCCTTTTTTCGCTGCTGAGAGACTTTGATGGTATCTTAGACCTTGTCTTCTTGGATAAATGGTCTAAACTTACCAACTAATTACTCTTTTTTTTCAGGTTTACGAATACATAGTCCCTCTACTGAGACCAAGAGGTCTGCTCCTAGTCGACAACATCTTCATGAGTTACGGCGTGTTAGAGGACGAGGCGAACTACGACCCACGAGATACGGCGGTTCTAGATATGGCCAAGTTCAACAAGCGCATCAGTGCCGATGAGAGAATGATGCATAATTTCATAGATATTGGAGACGGATTGGCTATCGTGGTGAAGAAATAATTGAAGGGTGTAAAATAACTGTAGATGGCTTCTATAAGAAATATTAGCAATTTGTGTACAGAGTTCTTGTTTTTGCCAATTCAGTATTATCGAGACTGCAGTTTTTTCAATGAGAAACTCTCTTGGTTAATTGACTCTTTTTTTTCGTGGCGAAGTTTCATTTGAATAAAATCAAACAATAATTGCCCTAAAATAACCGACACAATTGATATTTTTGAATTGTGGGTTCTACAAATCACAGGATTATCAAAGGCTGTGATCTATCAAAGGCTATCTAAGGATAGTCAATTTCTTATTATTTCCCTACGTTCCAGACTGAGTTATTTTGTTTGTGCGCTCAATCTCCGTAAATTTGCAAATATGAAGGTTCAAGAAGTTTAAATTAATGAGAGCATTTATCGGCAAAAACTCCCGGAAACTCATCATAATTTCGGTCGAGCATAACATCGTATAACTTCATTAAACTGCCCCGAAAATGGTACAAATTGGCGCAAGCTAGCCTCAAGAACAGGTAATAATGTCCTTGAGACAAATTGCTCTTTTTGGCGGTCAGCCTTAATCAAGGCTGAACCGAATTAGAACCAAAAACAGTTAAAATAGGATAACCCCTTTTTTAGTATATTAATACATGGGCAGGTGGGGGACTCGAACCTACGTCAACTGGCAAGTTTGTATAGTCGGTAAGTTAGCTTAGGCCGCTCGGCTAACTGTGCTTGTGGTTGGTACATTTTGGTCCAAACATAAGCATTTATACTCTCGCTTACATTTAAGTTGCAACATTGTTGAAGAAGCTCTTTTTTGCGGCTAGAAATTTCCCGTGATACCATTAATGCACCCAAATTTAGTCAGGCTGTAATAGACCCGAAGCTTGAGGCCAAGTGAGCATTGTCATAGCAGGGGATCGAATACACGATCTTGCGATCTTAAAACGGGCGCCTTACTACTATGCTAAGTGCTAAATATTTTGTTAATTTTTTCACTGAAAAGTTGAAGGTAAGCTTTACACTTCATTTTAACAACTTGACAGCTGCAATATATTGATACGTTTCTTATTTTTTTGCTAGAAACAAATAGAAAAAATTTAGAAATTTTAGATTTAGCTTTAGCTTTAAAATTAATCTAATTTAATCACGGAAGGTACCAGGGGTATTCACGAAAGAGCGTCAACCCAGGTTGAAAAATGCATCTAAAAATCAAAGTCAAAGCGCCTCTAATTCCGATGGACGATCTGCGATGCATCTAATGAGCAAGCAATAGCCTCACTTGTTGTTCTGAAAAATACATTACTCTGTGCAAAGTGCATTTTCTGCCGCCTTCACAACTTTGGTTCCGCTTCATAAGTTTTCTTCCGTTGATAATTTAGTATTCAAATATCTTGCGTGGCATGTTTGCCTAGAATGATCTCGTATCGGGACATGCGAAAATTTTGGTGGACCATTTTTTTTGTTCACTCATTCCATGTTGTATCGCAAGTTGTGCGAAGCTCCGTTTCGTTTTTGTGTTAAAATTCTTTCACTAAAAGGAACAAATTACGAACTCCTATCACGACAGTGAAAGGTCGCAAAGAAATATGAGTGACTTCAACTTCGATAGTGGATTTTAATTTAGGTTGATTTGGATTAATTTTGTGATAAAACGCCCATCATTATATTGAAACGGAAAGAAGTTTAACGTGATAATGTTGTCCAATTTTTCAAAAATTGTTCAAAAATACAAAATCATTTTTTTCCGTTTTCCTGGTTTCATTGACAATTTTCTAACTCTGTCAGCTATGTTTAAAAAATATGTGAGTGTAACTCTGCTCACGAATTTCATATTTGTTTTTGTTTATTTTTCATTTCACCATGTTTTTTTTTCACAGCGATTTCTATAAATAATCTGTTTACATTTAAAAAAATTTTTTTTTACCGCGTGTGCGATCGAGCAAGTTTTCATATTAGAGTCTGTTTCTGTTCATGTAACTTTTGTGCATTATACTATAATCTTGCAGCTAACTATATCACGAGTTTTGTGCCTTAAGTTTATTGGTTCAATATTTTCCGAAAATCGCATATTTAATTGCTCAATTTTTGGGCGATATGCGTCTGCGTCAATATATTAGCAGTTAACGCCATATGCGCTTAGTTTCACTCCAGCTATTTTGTATGACACGAGCTATTTAAGCTTGAAAAAAGTGCATTCAATGCTGCCTGCTATTTATTGCTAAAGCTTCTCGGAAATGTATTTGACAGCAAGGTGGTATAGAATAATGATAAAGGCAACTGCAGGCCTTATATCCTTGAAGGTTTATGATTTTTCTTGTTTTGCAAGTCTCCTGTTTTAGGATAAACAAAAGTCTCGGCTCAGTTTTCTTCAAAAATGATTTAACCATTTCGATTAGTTTCTTTATGCTTGCGTGTCTCAAACGTAGTTAAATCGGAAGTTAGCCTTTTTTCGTATTTACGACTTATCCAACAGACTCACAGAGCTCTTGAAAAAATCGTATTTTACAACTGTTTGCTATTACAGTGTGTTTTCTTAAGCAAGTCTCTTGAAATGCGGAACTAGATTTCTAGACTTTTTCCCAAAAAAACTAAGAAATTGAACTTGCTTTATTATTGAATCTTAACCACTTCGAGGCCCCTTTCCACTTGGTCTAGAGTTAGCGCGGTTGCTTTTGCAACCTAAAGTTTGGGGTTCGAATCGCGGTCAGACTGTTTTTTTTCTGTATTTATGAAATTGATTTTTTTCCGGGAAAAACTGAGTTGTTGGACTTAGTTTTTCTGCTTTTGTTTTTTAGGCTTAGTTGCCGCATCACGGGTTTTTTATGCTGTAAGCAATCATAGTAGTTAAAAGTTTTATTGATTTTTTCTTGTAATTTTACCAACCCTCAGTTGGTATTGTTTCCTTTTTTCGCTTAAAAGTTTTTTTTCTGCCTAAATAGTATCGTTTCGGCTGATGTTTTATTGGATTAGGCAACTTATTTTGTGTCGTCAGAAATAAGAATTGAGGTCGGTTTTAGTGAAAAAATTTGAAGTTTTAATCTAACCCATATTGTCAGCTTAGTGCAGGCTCAGTAAATTTATTGCCGCTGATTGTGTTTTTATAAATTTTACTTTTTCAATTTTTTCGACTTTGTTTTATACGTCTTTTTTTCTATTCGCTAACTTGCAGTGCTACGCTTGCCTTGTATCGCAAGTGATGCGAGGCACCCGCTTCGCCTCTAAGTTTTTCTCGTTATTACAATATTTTGGTGATTCTTCTGTCTATTTGTAGCTCTTGAAAATATGTGTTTCATGTAATTTTGAAACTTGAAAAAATTTGAAAACCGTTAGTGAGGTCAAGTTTTCTGTAAGTTTTTATTGTTTATTACTTTAATGTGAGTAAATTTCTGATAAATTTTGTTTTTCTGATGTTTTGTTTTTGTCATACTGTGAAGCAAAATCGTGACGCTCTTTTATACGACGATTTGATTCTACGATAAAATAATGATTTGAGTCCGAGGAATATCTTAGTACGTAAGTAGTTGTTAAGGAGATGGGGAGAATCGAATCCAGGGAATGCGTATTTTTTTTCCAAATCATCTACATCTTTTTTTCCAATGTTTGCTGCTTTTACGGTAATGTATGCGAAATGCTACTTCGCCTCTGTATTTGTTTTGGTATCACGGGTGGTTAGAACCGTTGCTTTATCTTTTGTAGTGTCTGCATACAATAGCTCAAGCGCAAGTTCCTTGTAAGTTTTTTTGCTAGTTTAACTAAATTGATACCAGTTTATCACGAGGTAAAAGAGACCACTTAATCAAAAACTGACCTATTTAGCTCATTACGTCCAACAGCTGCTGTCACCCTATATTAACATTTACATGCACATGATTTTAGTTATTTTTCCGAGCTGAAAATTGTTGCATCACCCTCAGACCGCGGTCACGGATCGTGGTGTGCTTCGAACCACTGTCCTTTCTGCTGAGAGCTAGATACGTCTACCATTTCCACGTCGCTTTTCGTAACTGTTTTTTTTAAATCAGCTTTAGACGAGTTTGTTTTTTTTAGATTGAATGAGGTTACTGCCCTTCGCTTGTGCCAGACGCTGCTCCTCGACGTTGCTGCAGAGGATCGATAGTCTGACTGCGTCGGATATTGACCCGTTGACCAGACGACCTCTCAAGCCAATAGACGACGCGTTCTTCATTGAGAAGACAGACGCACTGCCTGTCAAGGATGCTCTCCGATCCATCATGCATGATTTTTCACTCTTCAAATGTCTCAGGTACTGTTAATTAGGATTACAATAATTACTATATAATTAGTTAGGGACCGAATAATGTGTACAGTTAATGCTTTGTGAAAGTGAAACTAACTTAATCTATGATATCTTTTTTTATATGCGCGTCAGAAAGGAAAAGTCCATCAGAATAGTTAATATCACTATTAAATAAAGGCCCTGCCTGATACCAATCAGCCAATGTCAGCGCATTGTTTTATCTGAGATGGTTGTTTTTGAAGCATTAGTTGTTCATAGACTCTTGATTGTATCTTTGTCGAAATTAAATCTAAAATCATTATAATTCAGCTTCTGCTCAGATTTCAAATGGATTAGAGACAAATTTCACAAAAAGAACTAATTTTGGGAGTTTTGACAATCAACTGGTCAAGCTCAGAATTGAGGGGGTTAAATTTTTTCACTTTCATCAAGACCAAATTTTTTCAAGAACTTTTGTATCGCCCACTGCGTGAATAAAACTAAGAGTGTTGCATGAATGTTTCAGACCATCCCTTAGCGTCACTGACATAGTCCTCTCAGTTGAGCTCAATTTGAAAGAAAAACAGCTCTCCAAACTACCCAAGTCAGCCAAAATGATTCTGTATCCTTACCCGTTTAAAGACAATCGGAGGATTCTGGCGATTGTTCCAGAAGAGTTGATTGACCAGACTCGAGAGGAGTTTGGAGCTGATATTGTCGGTTCCGAACTGATAATTCCAGAGATCTTAGACGACACTTATGAAGTAGATATGGACTTCGACGTGATCATAGCTCACTCTGCTTTGTCTAAAGAGATCACAGGCAGGGTCTTCAGTTTTTTTTCTGTTGAAACTGGAAGTTGGAACTAATGAATTTTGTTTAAAAGTCAAAATTTGAGATTTTGAGACCTTGAGAATTATGGCTTCATGAGTCATAAGTTGGAAATAGTCTTCATTCAATCGCAAACTTGAATTCATCGAAAATGTCGACATAATTCTGGGGATGAGTATCTGTCGAAAAAATTTGTGGTGTGGGTTCAATTGTTTTTGCCAATTGTATGAAGATCAGAAACTATTTTGAAGCGTATTTTTTCCTTTTTCACAAAATAAAATGCTTTGGAATTTTTTTGTTGATAACGGCTACGGCAAAATAGATGACCACCCAAGATCCCCCGCCAAAAACTTTTTTTTATTAGCCTCCGGTCTTGCTCAATGCAGGGCCAAGCCGGGGGGAGGGTGATGTCATCCATTTCGCCCGCAGCCGGCGGTCTCACCTCGAGGACGCGGATGACACTGGGACCCCTTCGTGTTGAGAGACGTGTGCCTAAAAATTGAAGTCTCTACCGGGAAAAAAAACCATTGAAGTCTCTGCCTAAAAAAGCTATTGAAGTCTGCCTAAATTAACTATTGAAGTCTCTGCCTAAAAAAAACAATTGAAGTCTCTACCTTCAGGTTTGCGAAAGAAGTTAGAGAAGATGTACCCGGTGAAAAACAGGAGAACCCTGGGCGAGGATTTGGAGAACATGATCAAACACCACAAGTTCGGCCAGTTCTACATGTACAACCACGCCACGCCTCTTTTCGAAACAGAGGTGCTCTTCGTGTGTTCATTTCAAAAAAGAGATACATTTCATAGGGCAAACCGATTATTCCACAAGATATGCTTTTCCCACCCCACCCATTTAATGGCACCCATTTATTGAGCCTTTTATTGATTAAGAAATAGAAGTTTTAATTTGTTCTTCCGAGAATTGAAGACTCGATTTCATGATTTCATCCGTTCTTTGCTATTATCAATAGTAAAAAAACATCGGGCAATGTTTTCACGGTTGGCTCTGGGAAAGCTTTTTAGCACAATTTTTGGAATCTAAATCACATTGAAATGGTTTTAGTATAAAAGTGATACCAATTTCGATGCCTTACGAGTGTTCTTTGAGATAACCTAATTTTGCGAGAAACGAAATCCACCATCGGTCATAGTTTTTTCTAAAGTTTAAGGGGGGGGGGGGGTTGCAACAGCAATAATAAACATCTGAAGTTTCGACCTTACTTTATGCTAAAATTTTGACAAAAAGATCTTTAAAAAATTAGAGCTTAAATGGACTTGCATCTTTTTTGCATTCAGGTCGGCACAACTGAAATGGCAGTTGAGAAGATAGAAGAAAATATTCGGGACATGATCAAACAAGTTCAGAGTGACTGCAAGATTGTGGCGTCCAAACGAGACTGTTTCACAGAGTGCTCTCTAAAGTGCTCCGAACTACTGCCCCAGTTTATTGATTTGAGCGAATATGTCAAATAAATTTTGAAGAAGTTTTTGTTGTTTCTTGATAAGTTGAGAGCAACTAAAAATTGGGGTCTTTTTGGTTATCATCATCTAAATGATAATTGATGAAAATGAAAATGTTTATAACAAATTGGATTGATATTGCCACCAGCGGATTTAGGGGGGAGGGCGGCGGCGAATGCTCCCCTCCTAGGGTTTCGACCCCCTGCCTACCCAAAGGGTCCCCCGTTGTACTATTTTGAGATATCCATTTTTGACTGACTGACTGACCCTGAAATTTTTCTAAAGACGCCTTGGGCGCCAAAATATACCAATTTTGAGGGGAGAGCGCGCGCTGAAAAAACTGGATTTTTTGTTCAACATTTTCCAAAAAGTGCCTGAAATGCCTTTTTTGGCCTGTTGTTTTGAAATTTTGCCTGCGGTGCAGAAAATTTGGTTAACATGGGGTCTTTGTAGTGATTTGTGAGAGCTCAGAAAATTGGTTTGGTCGACCTAAACCTAAAAAAAGGAAAGTCCCCCCCCCCCCCGCCCCGAGAAAATCATAGATCCGCCCCTGGATATTACTAAGAAAGGCAAGATAGTAAGATATGACTGGTGAAAACCAAACATTAAATTTATTCAAGTCTCAAAGTGGCTCTTTTATTTTTTTACCGTTTTCTCCGCAACCGTTTCATAAATATAAATATCAGCCCAAATACGTTTTTAATTGTCGTTTTACAAAGAGTGATGAACGCGTGGTGAATAATCTTTTATAGGTCATGGTGAATTTTTTCTTAGTTTTTTTTCATGAAAAAGTCTTAGAATTTCTTCGCGCTCAAGTTTGCTGTTTTGCAGTTTGAATTCTTTCTGAGTTCACTTAATATCATTTGTTAAAAGGAAAGCAAACTCCAATATGGAACAGCAAAAGTTTAAAGGTCAAGAAAAATGTGATCGACTTCCAGTTTAGAAAGTGGATTTTAATTAACATATTTCCCAGCGAAATATAAATTTTAGCTATTGATCCAGTTTTTTCAAACGTTATTATCATGAAAAAGATAGTTTTTCTCAAGTTAACTATTTTTGCTCGAAATGATTCCAATTTCTATCAGGATGTAATTAAAACTATTTGAAGTGGTTTTTTATTTGATTGTCAGGTATTTTTATGTAAAATTTGCGATAAGCAAGGTTATTGCAGCCGGCTATCAGACTTTTTCCCGTAACAAGCATTGTTAACAGATTTCATGCGTGAGTAGATCACACGTGTTTCAAATTGCTTTGTTTCAATATCATTGATTCATTCTGCGCGTTTGGTTCAGAGGTTGCATGCATGTCTGCGACGACCACGGTATGGGGATCGAGTCCAGCTACGATCTGTTTAAGAATCATTAACGTAAATAATTTTCACATAAGTCTTGGCGGTTTTTTATTGTTTTTTAAGGAAAAATTCCTAAAATTTGTTCACACTAAAATTTGATTTTTCACGGTTTGACTTTTTATTTCAATTTCAGTTCGTTTCCTTTCATTACCGAACAGCAAAAGTCTACGTGATCAACATCTAAATGGATTTTAATTTTAGTTTTCAGATTTCCCAGCGAAATAAAAAAAACTTGATCAAAAATATGACTTGATCAAAAACATTTGTCAATGATAAATTGTTCTTGATATTTAAACAACTTTAAGGCCATATTTTTGTCTTTGAATTTCGAAAGGTGAAATTTTTCAAAAAAAAACAAGCCAGTATTTTTCTGTTTCCCCGCGTTCATGACTCCCTTCTAACTGTCTGTTGGCTATGTTTTTATCTTGCAAACTGGAAGTTTTTAGTTTTCTTGGACTATTTTTTCTGCGTATTTTTCTGGCTTTTTTTCTAGCCTTTCGAATCTTTTTCTAGCCTTGATAGCTTGTTTTGTAGCATATTGAATTCCGCTTATTTTGTGTTCTGGACTTCCCCTAATGTTTCTGATGTATTACTCAGCTTCGCCTCTTTACTATATATTCTGCGATTCAATCATTTCACCCTTGGAGTTTGAACAAAAACCTTCCAAAACTCGATATTTTTCCTCTTTTTTTTCAACATGATAAATATTTTATGATAAGCAGCTGGCTATGTTTTTGTTCAAAAGAGAAATGCTCGGCCCAGAGTTTGCTCGGCATCAAACTCGTTGAAAATAAAAATTGTTGTTTTTCAAAAAAACATCTTATGTCTTTGCTGGCCATAATCTTAGATCCGAAGAAAACAGGTCTGAGAGTTCAGGTTGTTCGACCAGATTGCTGAGCAGAAATTCATTCTGCCCTTGACCTGCCAAATTTTATTTTTCTTGCGTTTCAGTGACGTGCCGCTTTATTTTTTCTTTGTGTCAACCAAGCACGCTTAATTCTGGTAGACTAACTATGTTGTACTATTTATATACAAGCCACCATCGCTACTAAACATGCATTAGCTACTTTACAAGCATTAGCCTGCTTATCAATTCATTGACCAAGCTTTCACCATGCACAATTTTCCATTTATAGAGTGACGTTTTATCACTGGTATCTCGTTTTGTTCTGCAGAAATATTGTTCAGCTTTGCGCTGCAGTTTATTTTCTTAGTTGAACGTTGTTAAAATTTTCAAAGAGCTCTTTTCAACATTTTCCTCTCAAACTAGTTTATTTCTAAAAAAAATCCTTTAATTGCCTTAACTGTTTATTATACGGTGATAAGATTATCAAAATAGCGATATCATAGCGGTTTGTAATTATAAACTAATTCTGCGTAAAATATCTGCCTGATGAAAATCTGAAATTCTGTCTAATTTCCAGCTTCAATTGTCCTGATTTTCTTGAAATTCAAAATTAATTGATCCTGGTTTGTGAACTTTAAACTGAGTTTCGAATAGAAAACGAGGTGATTTTAAAAGAGCTCTTGTTACCACAACAGTTGTTTAAATGACGTCGGGTGGCAAAGTGTTCCGAGTGGTGATCGCCGGCGGGGGTTCGGCAGGTTTGACGATGACTAACCGACTCGCACGAGTGTTTGGTGCTACTAATGTCGCCCTGGTTGAGCCTAGCAAAGGGATGTTTTTTTTCAAATTTAGTCTCTTTCAAATATAGTTGCGTTGATAAGTGTCCCTTTAAGTATGATCTTAAGTCTTCCAATCCCAAAAAAATCCTCAATTTTTTAACGCAGGCACCATGATTGGATTTAAAAATAGTGGTAGTGTCGTTGTATTCCGTCAACTTTTCAATTTAATTGACAATTCCGAATAGAAAGAAATAGTTGTACGATTACCGCGCAAATTTTCAGACGTTGATGATCTAATAACATCTTGGTTTAATTTGAAAAGTTCAACAAAACTATACTTGAATACTATTCTATCGCATTAGTTAGGTAGGTATTATAATTCTGCTTTTTTCTAAAACATGTTCATTTTTGAATTGAGAGGATTTTTCTGTGCATCGCACATTCTTAGACGGCAAGTACATTCTTCGATTGGAACAACCATGCGCGCTTTTGTTGGTTTTTATTTGTATTATGAATTAAGGAGACTAACTTTGAATTGATCCTCTCAAAGTTCACTACTATCAACCCTTGTGGACTCTGGTCGGAGGGGGATTGAAGTCGTTCGAACAGTCGGCCAAGCCCATGGGAGAATTTGTGCCCTCTAATGTCCACTGGGAGAAACAGAATGTGTCTGGATTTGATCCAGACAACAACAAAGTTATGCTGGAAAATGGCGATCATGTAAGTCCCTTTTTTCCTGCAGTTCTTTTAAATATATGAGGTTGAATATGTTGTATGAACAGTTTTGCGATGTAATTGCTTACTTGTCTGAAACAATGCGCTGAGTTCGCTCTCATTGCGCTGTCTGTTTCGCGGTTTGCTTGATAAAGTCGACATGGAGTGTTTCTCAAAATTGCTCAAGTGAACGAGATTATTAGTTTTGGCGGTGGGTTAAACATACTTTTCTGAACGAAAGTCTCAAATTTGCTAGATTGTATCAACAATTTTCATTTAAAAAGTTTTCATCTCCAATGTGCTGCAATTATCTTGCAAATAAGTTGGTTTAAAAACCGTTGACATATATTTCGAATGGTGATTTTTGTGAATCTGTAAATATTTATCGATTTTTTCAACTAAAAGTAGTCAAATTTCGCTGACATTGTGAAAAAAATTGTAAGAATCAAAAGTAATAACAAAAAAACAGTGTTTTAACAAAGTTTTTATTATTATTGTTCATTTTCATTTCAGTTGAACTACGAGTACCTCATTGTTGCTCTTGGGATCACTCCGGACTACCAGAGAGTCCCTGGACTTCTAGAAGCTCTGGAAACAGCTCCTAACGTATGCACCAACTACGATGCCAAATACGTCAGCAAAACATTCCCTGCTATCCAGAATACCAAGAAAGGAACTGCTCTTTTCACACATCCGGATACTCCGGTGAAATGTGCCGGAGCTCCCCAGAAGATAATGTATCTAGCTGAAGATCAAATCAGGAAAAGTGGGCTGCGAAATGACGTTGACGTCGCTTTCGCCCATCCGGGTCCGGCGATATTCGGGGTTAAAAAATACGCAGAACAGCTGGCTAAAGTGGTCGCGGAGAAAGATATTAAAACCTATTTCCATCACGCATTGAAAGAGCTGGACTACAAGAACAATCTCGCTGTGTTCCACAACATCAAAGAACCGGTAAATTTGCAAGATATTAAGAGAGCATTTTACCCGAAAAATCCTAGTTTCATGTTTGCTACGAGATTAAACAATGTTTCACGCTCAATCTTTGAAAGAGAAATAAAGTTATTACGACTGTGTCAGCACGAATTTATCTCGTTTTGTTTTCTCTAGAACGGACCGACCGTATAACACATGCTGCATGAAATCATTTTACGTAGAAATTCGCGGTGATTTTTAAATCTATATGAGGCAGTTTTTTAAGGCGTTTGAATACAATTGTTGTTCCGACCCCTGAAAGTGTGGAGGAAGTTTGTATTCGGGTGTGTTATATTTTTTATTTTGTTTTTTACTTTTTTTCCACACAAAATTAGTTAGCACAAATAATAATCGGAATGTTTCGAGTGATATATCATAATAAAGCAATTCCAGTCGCAATTCGAACGACTTTTATAAATTTTCCCAGTTTCGAGAAAAACCGGATCGAATTTTTTGACGTTTCGTCTAACTTTAAGCTAATTAAGAGAGCGAGCAGGCTTATAATTTCGATTTTTAGACTTATGTAGCTTAAGATTACTAGTTTTCTCAAGTTATTGTTAATAAATTAGTTACTGATAACGTTTTAGCGCCTCCCTGTAAATAAAAATTTAAAGAACGAATCGAAAAAATTTGAAAAAGTTTTCGAAATGTTTTTTTTTGAATTTTGATTTTTTTATGTGAAAAATTTATGTCAAATGTCCCTATTTTTTATTATCAAAATTTTAGACTTTCGCTTAGATTCTCTGATCACACCAAAAAAAAACGACGCAATTTGATGAAAAAAAAGTTTTTTTACCAGATTTTTTCTTAAAATATGGTCGGAACATTCTGTGCTACTTGCACACCAACCGTCTATCCTTGTTTTGGTTTGGAACTGTTAGAACCAAAGAAACCAAAAATTTGTTTTGACCAGGTGTTATTATGTAAAAATTTAGACTCGGGTAGTGATCTTTTTGTCGGTCTTGAGTAATCAACTAGTTTTCCAAAGCTCCAATAACAAAATATAAGTTAGTAACTTAAGTAAACTTCCGTAATGCTAGTTTTTTCATTTAAGATCAATAATATATTTTTTTGATTACCAAGAACAATAAGGTTAGCTGGTTGCTGTACATAAAAACTAGAAAAAGGTTTCCTTTTTCTAGAGTAGTGCTTGTAGTGAAGACTCTTATATAGCTTTTGGTCATTTTTTGTTTATTTTTTTAAAGGAAAAATGTAAATTTGTTAACGCTCAATTTTGATTTTTTGTGGTTTAAAAAATCTTAAAATGTGTTCAGGCTCAAATTTTTTTGGGCTGTTTGACTTTTGATTTCTTTTCAATTTAAATTTTTTTCCATTATTAGAAAGAATTTAAACTCCATCATTGAACCTCAAAAGTTCACAAAAAAACATGATCGACCTCTAGTTTCAAAAGTAGAATTTACTTATCAGATTTCTCAGGGAAATAAAAGTTTTACCTCGTGGTCCATTAAATTGGGTTATTTATAAAAAGTTGTGCGTGGTGTGACTAGAGAACTCTGCAAAACTGTTGAAAATTAATGAATTAGGCTTAAATCGACATCATTTATGTTCGGAAAATGAATGACAAACAAACAAAAAAGTTTTTAAATTTTGTCTTCGGAAAATTTTTCCAATTTTTTCACCATCTTTTAGATTTTTTACGCTGAATTAAACTTCCAAAACTAGTTTTCTTTTTCGTAGAATCGAATTTTCTTAGTTCAAAACCCTAAACAAAAATTGAATTTTCATATAGCGAACGTTACTCAATCGCTTTACTCGCTCTTAATTGAACTAAAATTTGAACATTTTTAATCAGTTTGTCATATCACTAGGGTAGTTTTTTGAAATTTTATGATGTCGTTCGAATGACGACTCAAAAAGCTTGAGTTTCATATACCACTCGACCCATTTCGATGATTTTTTGTGGTACATGACTTAGCGTGGAAAACAAAAAAGTACCACAGAAAACACGAGAATACGAAGGCAGTATCTCAAACTAAATCTTATTTTTTGCAGGATAGCCCTGTGAAAGTGTCCATCCCGTATGAGATGATCCACGTCAGTCCCCCCTTCAAGCCCCCCTCTCCGATCGCATCCAACCCCAAAATGGCGGCTGCACAGTCCGGATATCTGGACGTCAACACACAGACACTGCAACACAACAAGGTCCGGAGGAGACTCAGATGATTTCAATTGTCGGTTTAATGAAAAAAATTTCACAAAAATAAATGCTGCTGACATCAACTGGGAACATCTTTGAAGCTATTTTTGAAAGCTAATTGTTGATTTAGGAACGCTAAGGCTCAAGTTATGATTTCAAGAAAGAAAATGCGATGTTTTTGCCAAAAGTCAGAAAAATCAATTGATTTCAATTAAACATTCAAACAGTTTTTATTACGTTTTTTTTTCAAAATCTTACACATTGATTTCTTGAAAACGTTTTCAATTAGCAGATAATTAGCCTTTGTTTTTTAGTACGAGAACATTTTTGGACTGGGTGACAACATCAACATCGTGTCGACTAAGACGGCGGCCGCGGCAGCTGCTCAGACAGGCATAGTCCAGAAGAATCTGCAGTCTGTGATGGACAAGAAGAAGCCGAGTGTGTTTTATGATGGGTATACTAGTTGCCCACTGGTCACTGGGGCTAACAAGGTATAATGTATTAAGAGCTGCTATCTAAGTAGTCAATTAAGATTTGCAAAAGATTTCATAATTTGTTCTCTTAATCGTTCAGTTAAACAAACAAATTGTTATACAGCATTTGATATGAAAATTATTTTTTGAAAAAAGGGTTAAGTAAGCAGTTTTCAACTACTGAAGCCGATCTAGATGCAAGTTCCGATCTAGATTCAATTTAAAGGCAATTATGATGAACTTCGTGATGACGTGAGGAAATCCACCATATTCAGAATGTTTTTCACAAATTTTTGCCCAGATATGAGTTTGAGGCTCAAAAAATCAGTTCGGTGCTATCATGGAATCTACCGATTATCTAGTTTAAGCAATCCAATACTTGGTTCCTTTTCCCACTTGCGAATTTTATTTACCAATTTTTTGTTCGCATTGTCCGATTGTAACAAAAATAGGCATGCAGACTAATTAGGCCATAACAAAAATGTTTGGTTTCCATACTCGACCTTGTTACACTTGCGAGCTTGCGAAGGTAGTGTATAAGAACGAGCCTTCTTTTTTTCTAACCTAACTCGCAAATAATTTCGTTTGTCAAAAGTGTGCAGTTATATGGTGGCACTTTCGCAATAATCACGATATGTAGCATTAGAAATTTCATAGAATCTGTTCTCCGCTTTGTTTGTGGCTAGTGTTTCTGATTTATTCAGCGTCCGTGGCTGAATGTTTAGTGCATGAGACTATTAATCTCTAGCCGAACTTTCACTTACTCTAGCCTATGAGAAGTAGCCGAATTTTTACTTATTCGAGGCTTATTTCTATTTTTTTCTGACCGCAACATCGCCTCTGTTTAAAATCAGTCGTAACACCATAAAATTGATGCTTATGTGAGGTATAATCAAACCACGCACTGTGAAACATCGGTCCCAATTTTTAACACTGATCATTTGCTTGTAAAGTTTAATTCAAATCTGGGTTCCAGTTATCGAAAAAAATGATCTATCGTTGCAGTGAACTGTTTTTGGATGAAAATTTTGTTTGGACGTTTTTTGTTTTGACTGGACTGCTTTATGCAATGCAAATACGGGATGCGAAATTTTTCGGGTTTTTGCCGACATTCTTGTATCAATTTCATGCTCCGAAATATGCTCCCTACAAAACAAAATACAAATTGTTACAAAGAAAGACTTAAAACCTTGGTTGCCTGAAGAGTTAAAGCACCTGATATAAAAAATTATACTCTGTTCAATGAGTGGAAAAGAATGAAATCGAAAGAAATTTTCATATCTTTCAAAAGCACTCGCAACCTTGTAAGTAGAAAATTACATCACAACGCATTTTCAACTCTGCCAACTGTCCAAGCTCCGAAGAACAATGAATTATTTTTGTTATCACTAGAAAAACAAAACAACCCGAGAAACTAAAAAAAACTGTGTCAACTAAAACTGCAAAATGCTCCTTTGCTGAAGACTCAACTTTTTTCCATTAACCGGTGCATTAAAAAAATTCATTTACCTCTTCTTTAGTTCGTTTCCCGGTTCATTCAAAGAAGATTACATAACTCCAATATGCAAAAAACAAGATCTAACAGAAGCCATTAACTAAAGGACTATTTTGGTTACAATTACTTGTCTTAAATACTCGAGCGCTTTCTAATCAAGATTTCATTGCATATCTAGCCACTCAGGTCTGCGTCCCACCGTCCCTACCTTGGCATGATTTTCGCGTGCTTCCGGTCTTAATATGCGCATGCGCAGACTCAGGCAGTTGAATTGATGGCAGTGCAGCTGAAAACGCTTTCGCATGACAAAAGCGACCTTCGGGCGCACTTATAATGCTCAATCGAAGCTGGACATGATGGCTTAACAAAGCAACAACGATTTTTTTATTCCCGTCTTTTGAACTATTCTGAGTCGGATGCTCTTTTACTGGGCCCTAAGGAGCCCACAGAGCATCCTGCAAAATTGCCAATCTAAAATTTTCAAAAAAAAAAATTTTTGTTTATTTTTTTTTTCAGTTTTTTTGAGTTTCATCAATTTTATTTTAATTTACAACAAATTATGAACATTTGCGGCAGCTTACAATGCATGTTATTAGTTCAGACTTTCCCACTTGCTATATATGACCTAAATTACTGAAATTAAATTTCTTTTCCTACATTTTTCGGAAAACGACCAAATGAGAAAATTATAAAACCAAAAATGTCCAAAAAAAGTTTTCAGCTTTTTTTTTGCTAAGAGGTAGTTCTTTTTACTCAACGGAAAATTCATTGTTTTACACTTCCAAAAATTTTCATTTTTAAAACCTCAGATGACCGTCTTAAAAAATGAAATTTTTAATTTATGCCAAACGGTTTAAAGCATCATACCACATCTTTTAGGCACTATTAGTAACGTTTTTATGACCAAAGCCGAAAAATTTACTGAATTAGAGATCATTGAAAAAATCACTTTTTTGGGTCGTTGTGAAAAGGCCAAAAATGACCATTCTTAAATAATCGAGCGCTTTCGAATTAACATTTCAGTACATATCTAGAAAAAATAATAAATTAGTATTTATTTATTAGTAAATTTTTCTCATCAAACTAGTTTCATACGGATTATCCATTCAAGCTCGAACTGCTTGCGAATTTTTTTTTTGACCAAAAGCACTGAATTAAAAATATGCGAAAGAAAGTCTTGCTGGCCGAAAGTAAACCATGCAGTACCACAAGGTACAGTGCTCGGTCCAATAGTATAAGTTAACGAATTTCGGAGTGGATGGGGAAATGTCGTTCAAGCTATCCAATTTGCGGATGATACCTCTTTAATTTTTACGGAAAAGGGCTTGCCTGTTTCGAAGTCTAACACACAAGCTACATTAAAATTTGTATCGCTATAATTATCCGAGAATGAGCTCATGATTAATGCAGCCAGAACAGATATAATCAAATTTGACAAAACCGAATTAATCTGTTTGGTTTTTGAGAAGGAGGAATTGAAAAATAAACATTCAGTACGATATCTTGGCATTATAAGGGCTGAAACATTTGTTAATGACATTAAAAAGTGTCTTTGCTAAATGGCTTTTCAATTTACATTTTACGGGATAAAGCGTCGTTTATTTAATTGAAATTCTTCGTTTTGTCAAATAAGTTTTGAAATCCTTTAGTTTTATCTTTTTATGGTGTAGTGTTTTTCACAAAATAACAACAAAAAATGTCAATCGATTGAATCAGCAGATAAACTGGGGAATTAAAGTCTGCTTGGCGAGGAAAAAAATTGTCAGATATCCTGATCGAATTTCGAAAAACAAATTAATAACTGCAGAATTATTCATAACAAAAATTTTTTTGTCCGACAAGTTTTGATCTTTTTACTGAAAACACAAATCGTTTAACCGCAGAAAAGAAGAAAAAATCATGCACATACATAAGTTGATATTAAAGAAAAGATCGAAAAGGTGAGTACTGAATAGTTTTGTGGAAATTACTCATCAGTTTTCGATTGCTAGAATATGTTCCAAGAAAATGAATGGTTTACCTTCAAAACTTGAGAATGATAAAAAAGAAGTCAAAATTTAAACTGGAAATTAATAAGTCTATAATTCGTTCAAATGAACAGTGCCAATTAAAAAATTATTGGGGTTTTAAATCATAAAGTGAATACAACTCTTTTGCCTTATAATTAATTATTAATTAATTATAATTTTGTCTAGAAGCCGGCATGGATTGAATTAATCTTATTTGCTGATTTGTATTTTTTATCGTATAGCATGTTGTCTTCAACCTCCGGGTTATGTTAAACAAATTTACATGTTTGTCAAAAAATATGTAGTGGCGAATGTTAAAAGAAAAAAGAACCGTAACTTTGATTGAAGTTCATAGTTTGCCATTTCAGGGTATTCTTAGGCAATTGTTAGATAAAGAGCACGAAATTTGATCTTAATTCATAGTTTGCCATTTCAGGGTATTCTTGCGGAGTTCGATGGCAATGGGGAACCCCTGCAGACTTTTCCTTCATTCTTCGGACAGCACAAGGAGAAAAAGATCTGGTACTATTTGAAGGCACATGTGATGCCCACTCTCTACTGGTACGGGATGGTCAAGGGACCATGGACAGGGCCCAAGGCGTTGAGAAAGATGTTCACTCTTGGAATGGGCCGATAGCGAATGATTGCTGAATATAGTTCAAAACTGTTTATAAATATAATTTGTTGATTTTCTTTTTTAAAAGTAAGTTTGCTAGCACGGTACAAAGATGGTTAATGGCTTTGCGGACAATCAAACGAAAAAGATTGCATTTGAACTGAAGGCTCATAGCACGCAAATCAAAAAGCGATTTCACGAAAAGCAGACATTAATGCACGAAGCAATTTAAGACCATCCGATTTTTGGAGTTTTGCCTCAGCTAGCTACCATTCGGAACTATTATATTATGATTATAATGCGAGAACAAGTTTGTTGCAATCAGGCACTTGACTTTTTTATTGCAATCAGGTATTTTTTGTTGAAAGTTAAATGAAACCGACGGAATTTGACGATGTTAGCGTTTTAATTACCCGTTCTATTCGAAAGTAGCTTTCAGTGTTGATGGTACATTAACCAACTCCGTTTCAGTATATATTGTTAGTTCTTATTTCAAGCAAGAAAAAGAAAGAAAGAATTTATTTCTCATTGTTAATGGTAAATATGCATATACGAGAATTTAAACATGAAGCACCAGAAACAAAGAGGGTACAGTTAACGAACCCAACTGGGTTACAGAGCACTGCCCGTTTTATCGAATGAAACACGAAATTTGAGATCTTGAAAGAAAAGGAAAAATATATAAATCTGAAAATATATAGAAAATATTGGAGAAAAAAATACTAAAGTTTGAATAAACATAAAGCAGCAGATATATGGCATTGTCTAGACAGGTTAATGACATAAGGTCCAAGCTCTGCATCAATATTTAAAATGATTGTTATTCAATCGTAGTCGGTATAAAGTCAAATTAAATAAGAAAATAGTTCAAATTCATCACTCATAATTTCAGAAACTCGCTAGTCGTAGGCACCCCCTATTCGGTTTCAAAAATAGTTCAAATTCATCACTCATCATTTCTGAAACTCGCTAGTCGTAGGCACCCCTATTCGGTTTCAAAAACAAAACTTGAACTTGTTCACTTTATTATGGTTACTGCTTCTACTAACTGTGTCCCATCCCTTTTATTTCAAGGTTTTTTTTCCGGCTTGAAAGGTTTCGGTGTGTATTATACCGCTTAGTAGCCTCATATTGCGTCATTTGGGCAAAATTATTGTTTTCATGCCGATAGGAACTTGAAAACTTTTTGCTGAAATTTTTTATGCTCAGCTTCTTGCATACCATTTTTTGGCGCTACGATTGTCTTTACAAATTTTTTGTGTGATTATTATTGCTTTGTAATGCTTAGTTTAAGCCGATGTTTCTTCCAAAACAAATTTCAGTGAAGACAAACCGTGATATGAAAATTTAGGTAGATAAGTTTTTAATCATTGTTTTCATTTTTTCATACTTCGTCGTCCAACTTATTTTTTTTGTCGGCTAGCTCGCCATGCTATATTTATAATTTATCACGTTTCGCCTCTGTCTTTTACCGTTCGAAATCGAGATATATCATACTTCTTGTTTTTTTGAAAAAAAAATTGCTTTAAAACGTTTCAACTGCATGACAACTTTTTGAAACGTTATCAAACAAAAACAAACGTTTGCTTATGTAAGTGTAAAATTTTTATGCAAAAATGTCATCCTTCAAACAATTTTCACAATTTTTTTAAAGGTAATATTTCATTGTTGCGCTCTTTCTACTTTGGTAGAGCTCCCCCATTTATTAAAAAAAACACAAGCTAACCTTTGAGTTATAAAACGAAGTTTCATAACAACTCAATCTAAATATTCATTTTCATTCGCCGGCGATGTAGTAGCTTCTCTTTATTAGTTTGATTAAAAAGCCCGGAAGTGACTATTAGATATGCACTCCATAAGGCAGTTGGGGAGATGATTTGATCAGGAAAATGAGTGCTTTACAATGTGGAGGTCTGGTGTTCGAATCCGTCAGTCGTATAAAATACTTCGCATTTTATTTTGTTTTGGTTTGGAATTTTATAGCTCTTGCCTCTTTTGCTTGTTTGCGAATGGTAGCTCTTCGCTTCAGTTTCCTATATTGGTCAAACTACAGGTACTTATGGTCATAATTGGGTGAATATGGATCTAAGTTTCCAATCTAGTCCCAATTATCATTTTTCAAGATGATCTACTTTTCAAGATGATCTATTTTAAGGAAAAATTTGACAGTGTTTCAAAAAAATTTAAAGACAAAAAATACTAACTGCCCACGAACTCTATGTGTATGAATTCTGCATGAGACCAACGAATAAGTTGCCACATAACGATTATTCAAATAGACTTTGTCAAAACTGATTTTTCTAGAAATTTAAGGAGATCGTTGCTTCCATCATTTCAAACATATCATGCTGTAAAACTAAAATTAGAACAGCTTCGCTGCAGAACCGGGGATCTGAGCTTCTAAACGTTCTTTGCGAAAGCGATCTTATGCCCGCTAGTTTAGGTAAAATGACTAAAAATTAAGTTCGCATATTTGTTCATAAGCTTAAAGATAATTTTGGGTAACCAAGAATTATCTCGTTTTGTATTTCAAAATTAAATCAAAACCCGTGTCATGACTGTAATCAGAAATGCGAAATAAGGTTCCATTTTGGACATCAAATTTTGAGTTTCTTAAACCCTCTGGTTTTCGAAAAATTTAGATTTTTCCAATTTTTCTCAGATTTTCTGATTTAAGAAACAAAACACATAATTTTTGTGTGTGAAAATTTGTTTAAAAAAAAACAATTTTTTTTCACTGCAAGCAAGCATTTTAAGTGATTGGTTTTATTGGAATATTGGCGGCCAAAAGTTTGATAGTTTATAGTTTTTAAGAATGCGCATAAGTTCAACGTTGTTCTTAGTTTTATTTTTTTGAGAAATTGCAAAATTTTGTTAACTACATAGAAAAAGGAAATTTTAAAACTCTTGTTTGCATGCTATCAGTCATGCAAAAAATGTTATTATCTTATGCTGGAAAATGGTTTTCTGAAACTATGTAGTTTTCGAGAAATCGCGGTTTTTCTAAAATATAAAAAAAACGGAAACTTTTTTATAAATGAGTTTTGATATGAGGTCTCAGATAATGCTACTGTCATTAGATCGCTATCAGGAGAATATTGATGTTCTGGTTTTTGGGGCGGTGCTGATTTTAATAGAATAATTTATAAATCGATACGAAAAAAAAAATCGAATTTTTAAAAATTATTTCCCTATTTTCTTTCCAGTAAATAGACCAAAGGTAAATAAAGCGCTGATGCTTTCATGGTGTATGTTATCAATACCGCCTGGTGTGCATTTTCTAATTTTAATTTTGGAAATTTATAAAATGTTGATTTTGGAAATATATAACTCCGTAGAAAATGTTTTATGTTAGTGTAAACACATAGTGGGCAAGTAATTTGCCTTTAGTCTGCCCTCTCCTATGCTATCATGGCTCAGCTTTTTTGCAATATCTGTCATGTGCTTCTCTTGCTGATATATCAAAAATTTCAAACCGGTTTTTCTCGTCACTGGGAGAATTATTTGATTTTGCGTGGAAAACAAAAAGAAAAAGTAAAAAAAAAACACCCGAATCAAAAACAGTTAATGAAGAAGAAGAATTTATTTCTCCTTTAAAGTTTTAGAGCAAATCCAAGTATATATACCACAAATTATCATCGGAACGGGTCGAGTGATATATCATATTAAGCCCTTTCAGTCGTCAATCGAACGTCATTAAAAATTTCCCAGTGTCGAGAAAAACCGGTTTGAAATTTTTGATTTTTCGGCTAACGCGAGCGAGCATGTTTCTCCATGCAAACTTAGGCCGTTTACAATAGCTGATTAATGCTTAATTTAATTTTACTCGATGAAAATTAGTTTGTGGAGTTTTAGTTTTTGGAGCTTTAAATTAGTTTTTGGACGCCATTTTGCGAATCGAAAACTTCAAAAATAAAAAAAATTGAAATTTATTTCATCTATTGTTTTGTTTTCCTAGTCCTTTTTCGTCAGAAATTGTTGTCCAGTTTCCTTGTTTTATTATGAGCGTCGATATTGCCTATTTTTTTTTGTTCGGATCCTTTCATCACCACGCAGAAAAAAAACAATTCAAATTTGAAAAAATATATATTTTTTGTGTTTTTTTTTTCAGACAAGGGTCGGAAATTTCAATGCTTCTTGTTTTTCTTAATTTTCTAATGCTCATCCTAGCCCGTATAAATCTGCCTAATAACCAGCGTTAAAATTGCTTTGTTGGTTTTTTCTACTTGCAATATCTACTTGTATTTTTACAATTTGATTTACTTTCAAATTCAGTTATGATTTCAACTTCGATTATTTCGACAAAAAGTGACCTTTGAAAGCAGATAATTTAGTTTATCGAGTGAACTGGAGATAACAGTTTGTTCAAAAATGAGTCAGACAGAAATTTGCGAGAAGATAATTTTGGGTTATTTCTCTGTCAGAGCATACGTTGATCACTTGAAGCTGCTACTGGAGTACAAGCAGATTCCGTACACATTCCAGAGTTGCCAGAAGGAACAGTTGGATGATGGGTCGTGGCAGGGAGGCCTCTGGTATCAGGCACGGTGACCAATTATTTTACGATAGAGTTCACTGTTTTTAAACTAATACGGGATGGGTCTAATATTTAGTTCTTTGTTTCAAAACTAAAAGGGGATGGGTCTAGTATTTCAGCGAAGAGAGATTGTCGAATTTTTTCAGCTGCTTATTTAATATTGCCGATTTTTCTTTTTTTTGAACCGTCAAGCTCGTAGAAGGTCATTTTCCCACAGTTTTCAAAAAGAATACTTTTTAAATCTTTTTTCGTTAAATGCATAGAATCATCTAGAAATCTAACTCGAAGTCCTAGAAACTCGTTTTCCTTCAAGTACAATTTCAACTGTGGATTTAAACTTATATTTTGGTTGCCTTTGCCAGGAGTGGAGACATAATTTGAATCTGGACTTCCCCAATATGCCTTTCTACATTGAAAAATACTCGGATGGATCCCAATTTTCCATGACAGAATCTATGGCCATATTGCGTCATCTGGGCCGGAAATATTCCTTATATGGAGATGGATCTATCCAGCATATGGCCAAAGTGGACATGCTAGTGGATGTGGCTGTTGAATTGCGACTTATATTTGTCAATCTGACTTATTTCGGGGACGTCGAGAAAGAAAAGTCAGATTATTTCAAGAAAACAGGTTTGAAATTTTTCGAAGTCAGTAGTATTGTAATCCGCCGTGTGTCCTTAGGGGGGGGGGGGGGGGTCTTTTCGACGGTAGGGGTTTTTGGGGTCCTACCAAAAGTAGGGTCCAAAAGGACCCATCTTTTTTAAAGACCCCAAAGTAACCTGCCCGAAATAAAAAGACCCCTCTCTTACGACACCCGACAGACAAAATACTTTGGTATTTATTTTCGCGCGGTGGTTAAATTTAATCCCTTCTAAACTTTCCCACCACTAAATAAGTATGGGTATATCCGGCTGCGGTTTTCTCGCTTATTTTTTATCTAAAAGCTAATCCTTTTCGTTCATATAAATATGAGTTTCCATAAAGTACCATTCATATTTCCTTTTAAAAATTTTTGGTAATTATTGTTCGTTTCTCTTTCTTATTTTATTTTCAAACTTATTTCCAAGTCTCCCTTATTTTCGACTTGCACCATTTTGATTCTTTTAGCCTTACTATTAGCTTACTTTGGGAAACTAAATACGCAATCCTTCGCTCCTGCTTCAAGGGTAAGTTGCAATTACCAGTCTCTTTTGCGCCGGTCTATTTAACTTAAAACAATGTTTGTTGAATGTTTTATATTTACAAATGTACAGCCGTAATTCCAAGTGACAAGGCAATTTAGCCGACATTTTCAAGTGAAAAATTTTATTGATCAGTTTTATCAAGTTTTCTCCTTTTTTTTTGACTAGAACGAACAGACACTTCTGTTAGAATGAATGGGTTATTGATAGGCGGAGGGTCTTTTGAACTGCTAGCTTCGCTTTCTTCTTGAAGCTCTTCCTCCGTATAGCTTTCTTGAAGAAAGCCTTAATCTGGGACCCGGAATTCCGGTGATTGCCAGCTTTCACTGTTTTCGCTGCTATAAGTCGGGGGTATTTGTCAACTGTGAGTTTGCCCACTCGCTTTCTTCCGCAATGGCCTCGAAGAACACATTCTCTTCTGTAGACATGTGTCCAAAGGGCAATGTAGCTATCCCGTCGAATAGTAAGAACCGCTTACTATCGAAGGGTGAAAGGGCAATTCGGTTCTGCGCTATGGTTATGTTGGTATGGACTTTCGATTTTATTGAGTAGTTGTATATACGAAGGGTTTTTCCACTCAGTAATGTTTCCCTGAACCTCTGGTGTGTAAGTTGCTGCTGGGAGTGTTGCACTACTCCTTTTGCACTCCTCTTGCTAGTTGAATCTAAATGAAGAACAAAGATTAGCCCATAAACATATTTTAGCTTTGTAAGCCCATAAAAATTCGCAAGCCCAGTTCTAGTATTAATAACGAAAACGGTTCCCAAATCTGAATATTTTGAAGACTCAATATCTAATAACATTCCAATTTTTTCAATTCCAAAAAGTTTAAATATCTTAATTGATTCCAAATCATAAAAATTCCAAGTCGTGTCATTATCAAAAAATCATTCCATGTCAAAATTTTAAATTTGTTCTTGTCAAAAGTTACAAAAGTGCGTTTGTAGTGAGTATTTGTTTAAAACGTTTTAAATGATGAATGGTTCTTCATTTTAAGTTTTTAAATGAAGAATCAGAGCCTTTCAGGGCTAGTTATGTCTAATTAAATTGACAGGGAACAACAAAAGTTATTAATTTGGTCCCAACAAGATCCAAACCCCCAATGGAGGGAACCCTTAATGTAAAGAAATGGAGGGGACTTGGAGAGGTGCTTTTTTTCAATACTAACCTGCATATTTCAACGAGTAGAGCTTTGGTTTCAACGCGATGAATTCTGCAATGATTTTTCCCGCCGCCTCGTCCTTTAATTTCAATACAACCTTCTTATTCACATTGCTGAATAAGAAGTGATCGCTTGGGTAGTTGGAAAAATCGAAACTATCGGTCAGTTTTTGCAGATCTGCGTATACGTCTTCGGTTTTTATCGCATAAATAAACGAATCTGTGTCACTGTATAGCAGTTCAAGGTTCATGCTTGCTTTCATTTGCCGATAATTAAAGTAAAACATGAATTTTTTCGACAAATCCAAAATACTTATACCAATTATCATGGGTTTGTCCCACAAAATACTCGTTACAGCAAAACAAACAGTAGCAGTTTCCTCGTCGATTATCTGGAAGCTTTTCATCGTGCTCAAAGCTGTTTTTTGAAGCAATTCTCTTTCGTTTCTAATAATTTCTAGTTTTTTGCGTCCTAGTTTTGATTCCATAGTTTTACCGAATGCTGAATTTACGATGAGCTTGTAAAAGTTCTCTTCAAGCTTGTTGCGCGCTGACATTCTCAATTGAGTGTTTAAATCGACAAAGGGCTCCATCCATCTACCTTGACGAAATTTTAAGACCTTAATCAATTTGGTAACTCTTAAGCCGAGTTCTATGTAGAGTTTTAATGTAAGGTAGTGCAGAACGTAGCCTTCCTTTGGATCTAATGTTTGAACCAGTTTTGGTACCTTTGGTAGCGACGTGACCCCCATCTCCCCTAACATCTGTATTTGCTCGTTACTTAGTTTATCCGTACCGATAACTTCACGTGAGGGGGCTAGCGGGTAGTCTGCAAAGTAATCTTGAAGTTCTTCAGGCATACTGAGATCCTTTTCCAAAATGTATCCCCACTCAGATTTATCGTCGGTTTGCAAAATATATTCGAGACTTTCCTCAACTATTGAGAAATCTTTGATGGGAAGGGGACAGTGTTTCATAATACCCCCGTATAAATTGTTAGCGTCTATATTTAATAGATAGCTAGAGGGCTCTTCAGGATTGTAGTCTTCGAGGTATTTGTTGTTGGCTTTAAAAAAACGGCGTGCATATATCGATGACATCCCTCCCCGTATCCTTTTTTGAACCATTTTCAAATGCTCCCTTTCTGTAAGTAACTTGAGGTCTGCATTGCAGACTTTTAAGAATGTATCGCCCGAGAGGTTACTAGCCGTGAAGTAGCATGCACAATCTAATCCGTACGTTTTGTAACAAACTTCACGAAAGGCTTCGAATACTGAAGCGAGTAGTAGTACGTCCGTTGCTAGGTATACATCATGGTACTCGCCTAGTGATGCGCATTTCATTTCGGCGAAAACTTTAATGGCATGGTTGTACTGATTTTTCGAAAACTTATTTCCCCTCCCTGTAAAGTGTTGCTCCACATTTTTCTAGGTGGCAGTCGGGTTTCTCGAAATTTTTCAAAACTGCTAAAGTATGAATACGGTTAGAAACCTTTTTGTTTTTGCAATGCTATCTGTTCTGCTGAGTAACCAAGTTCTTCAAAGTAATTTTCCAGTAGGAAAAATTTTTCTTCCGGCAAGTATTCGACGAGTTTTGAAAGGGGGGACAGCATGAATTTAAAGGAGTCTATGAAACGTAGATTTTCATACACTTTTTTGAGTTTTCCGTTTTTATCGGGGTATGATTTGATATAGACCGACATAGTGAGTGATATATACTTCTCCTCAGTGGAAGGGATCACTGAGTAAATGTTTTCGGGGTTACTGTTTGAGAGTGCTTTTATAATGAAATGCAGATCATAGTTTGACAAGTTATGCGCTATTACGGGTATATAGTTCGCCGTTTTTCGATTGATATTGCATTCGTTATGCGCCCACCCCAAGAACTTGTTGGTATAGTGACAGTGATCAAGTACAACTTGGTCATTGTCAGCAAATTCTGTTTCACATATCCAACAAGTGTGCGCTTCTTCACGCGTGCAACTTGGTGTGCCAGTGAACGTGTAATACTTTCGTTTTTCGAGGTATATTTGTTTCGCCAAAGATTCGAGCGAGGCGATCAATTCCTTCATAACACTTTCTCCTCTCTTCAGTTCAAACTTTAAAACTTCGCGCTTCCCAAATTCAACAACGGCCAGAGCGTAACCGCATGGTTGATGAATCTCTAGTGTTTGGGTGCTAGATTTTTCGGGGTCGGGTTGCGGTCCGTATAGGGGTAGTAGTAGCGATTCGAGGTCAAAGTAAATAACTCTCGGTACATACCAGCGGGCAGTTAAATTTTTGAAACGATGATTGTCCTTTCCCGGTTTTGGCATAGTGATTACCACTCCCTCGTCTTGGTAGCACATTTCCTGGTGCCTTTGTAGTGTATCGATGGATGAACATGTATGGAAGCATTTGCGGCAAATTTGGTTTCGGTCTCGGTGTAGTTTTCCACGCACATATTCCACAACCCTCATCAAATCAGTGATCAGCACATAGTGATGAGTTTGTCCGTTGCTGAGTAGTAGTAGGTCAACACATAGATCACTTGAGTATTTGCTGGACACTCTCAAAGGTAGCAATTCACCTTCTTTGTACCTAATGAAAAAAAAAACAATTGAGTGCTCGGGTTTCTGGATGAACGTTATGTGTTATACATGATTAAACAAATGTTTTGTCAAAAAAAATCAATGCTCACCGGAATACATTGACTTGACAGTTGTTAAGTTGTTCAAATCGGTCAATATCATATAGTCCCATTGGCATCTCGTACCAGCCTTCAATTTTCACAACATGTTCTTGGGAGAGCTTGTAATTTTTCAGTTTGTTTCGATGTTGGTAGCTTTGGGCAGCAGGATAAAGAGCAGTTGTGGTCTCTGAATATCGATCATGGTAGCAGTATAGAAAGCACTTCTGATCGTTTCTCGTTTTAATGTTGGTGAAACTCTGTTTCACCGGTTTCAATGAATCGGGAAGGTCAATGTATGAGCCAGCACGGATAGGAGAAAATGCTGCAAAACTTACAGCCAGCTTTTCAATGCGCTCCACAATCCAACCGCTACCGTGAGAAGCGAACGTGTTGATGGCATTGACCATATGCTCAATCAATTCCAAATATGTCTCTTTCTCGATTCCATTGAAGAAGACATTGATCATCTTAGAATTAAGATATAACATTGTCTTCTCGTGGCGTAACTCCCCGTCACCAGTTTCGTTTGTATCGCTCGAGAACTTTATCATACTCACGTCCACATGCAGTTGAAATTTACAGGGTCCTTCCTGCACTCTTTCGTCTATCAACGCATCA